CTCTGCTCACCTGTCTCCCTGCTCACCGGTCTACCTGCTCACCTGTCTCTCCGCTCACCTGTCTCTCTGCTCACCTGTCTCTCTGCGTGCAGCGGTGAAGATAAAGAAGCCAATCCAGACCAAGTTCCGGATGCCGGTGTTGAACTGGGTGGCTCTGAAGCCGAGCCAGATCAACGGGACCATCTTCAACGACATCGACGACGAAACCATCCTTGGGGTAACAGACAGACATTATAATACCTTTCTGTCTCTCTGTCTGTCTCTCTGTACCTGACTGTCTCTCTGTACCTGTCTCTCTCTCAGGACATTAACGTGGAGGAGTTTGAGGAGCTGTTTAAGACGAAGGCTCAGGGTCCGGCGGTGGACTTGACTCTTTCCAGACAGAAACTTCCTCAGAAAGCTCCGTCCAAAGTTTCTCTGCTGGATGCCAACCGGTCTAAAAACTTGGCCATCACTCTGAGGAAGGCGGGTCAGGGGTCAGAGGTTATCTGTCGCGCCATCCACACGTAAGACAACAACAGCACTAAGTGAAATCTCTAGATTGTCGGCTCACTGTCGGTTGGATGTCAGCTGGATGTCAGCTGGCTGTCGGCTGGATGTTGGCTGGATGTTGGCTGGATGTTGGCGGACTGTCGGTTGACTGTCAGCTGGCTGTCGGCTGGATGTTGGCTGAATGTTGGATGGTTGTTAGATGAATGTTGGCTGACTGTCTGCCAGAGTTTGGCAAAGTGATGGCTGGATGTCGATTGGATGTTTGCTGGATTTTGGCTGGATGTCAGCTGGATTTTGGCTGAATGTCGGCTGGATCTTTGCTGACTGTTGGCTGGATGTTGGTTGAATGGCGGCTGGAATCTTTGCTGACTGTCGGCCGGATATTTGCTGGATGTTGGCTGAATGTTTGCTGGATGTCGGCTGGATGTTGACCGGATGTTAGTTGGATGTCAGCTTGATGTTGGCTGGATGTTAGCTGGATGTCAGCTTGATGTTGGCTGGATGTTGGCTGACTGTTGGCTGGATGTTGGCTGACTGTTGGCTGGGTGTGATTGTCGGCTGGATGTTTGCTGATTGTCGGCTGGCTGTCGGCTGACTGTCGGCCGGCTGTCGGCCGACTGTCGGCGGCCGGCTGTCGGCTGGCTGTCGGCTGGCTGTCGGCTGGCTGTCGGCTGACTGCAGTCCCTCTATATGTCCTCAGGTTCGACCTCCGGACGGTGAGAGTGGACTTCGTTGAATGCCTGATGCGTTTCCTGCCCACGGAGGCCGAGGTGAAGCTGCTCCGTCAATACGAGAGAGACAGAAAACCTCTGGAGGCTCTGAGCGATGAAGACAGGTTCATGATGCAGTTTAGCCGCATCGAGAGGCTCAACCAACGCATGACCATCCTCACCTTCATGGGCAACTTCAGCGACAATCTGCAGATGCTGACGCCGGTGAGAGGTTACAGACAGACAGGTTACATACAGACAGGTTACAGGCAACAGGTTACAGGCAGATAGACAGGTTACAGACAGACAGATTCTAACCCCAGTGAGACAGACAGACAAGTTACAGAAAGACAGGTTACAGACAGACAGCTTACAGACAGACAGGTTAGACGGACAGATTTGAACCCCAGTGAGACAGACAGACAGGTAGAAACACAGCTAAACTGATCTCTCTCTCTTGTGTTTCCTCAGCAACTCCACGCGATCATCGCTGCTTCAGTTTCTATCAAATCCTCTCAGAAGCTCAAGAAGATCCTGGAGGTCAGTCTGAGTTTATAGAGATACACACTTTATATTGCGTTAAATACACAGTGTGTGGTATACTGGTGGTGTGTGTATACTATATGTCATATAATGAATGTGTGTGTATACAATCTGTATATAATGAATGTGTGTGTGTATAATCCTTTTCATAATGAATGAGTGTGTAGATCATCTTGGCTCTGGGGAACTATATGAATAGCAGCAAGAGAGGAGCTGTTTACGGATTCAAACTGCAGAGCTTAGACCTGGTAACACACACACACACACACACACACACACACACACACACACACACACACACACACACACACACACACACACACACACACACACACACACACACACACACACAGTATCTGAGTGTTATGTGTGTGTGTTCCAGCAGCTGGAGACCAAGTCCACAGACAGGAAGCAGACGCTGCTGCATTACATCGCCAACGTGGTGCGAGAGAAATGCCCGACGAAGAGCCTGTTCTACAACGAGCTGCACTACGTAGACAAAGCTGCTGCAGGTGAGCCAATCACAGGGTTCCCGCGGTGTCTTAAAAAGTCTTAAATTTGATAATCTGAATTTAAGGCCTTAAAAAGGTCTTAAATATGACCAAAAAAATAAGAAAGGTCTTAAATATGATTTGGAAGGTCTTAAAAATGATCGGATTTGAAAGGTACTTCTGTGTTGCGATCGCGTCTAAAATGTGTTTTGGGGAAAATGTCCGGGCTGCAAAGTAACCAGTACGGTAATAGCCTTTCAGTTCCCCCCAACAATTTCTATTGAAATAAATCAACGTGGAACCAGTAATCACTAACTTT